GGAGACAGGCCACACCCTACTTTCACAGGTAATGCTGTCCTGCGGAAGGATTTGAGTTAAACAACTCAAAAGTCTGGTATGTTTACTCCATTCCCAGAGATTGAAAGACAATATAAATATTTTAGATAACATGTTCTTAATTCATCATAGATATTCTTTAATTTTTTTCCAACACATCTGAACATTAGAGTCAACCAGCTGAAGTTCAGTGTCCAATTGATGTTAAAAGTTTCACATCTTTCAGCATGCATGTTGATTTCCATCTAGTGTTAATTTTATTAAATTTAGAAAATATCTGCTCTTCACTGTTAACAGCTTAATATTACTGCCACTATTAACTTTCTCTTTTTTGTTTCCATTCTTTATAAGTAAAATATTGTTAAAATACAGTGAACAATATAAATAATTATGCAAAGCCAGCATAGTGTCAGAAGCTTCTGACTCAAAGTGCTTGTTTGTGAGCCCTTGTAAGGAAGTCCAAAAATAGCTTACAAAAGTAATACATATATAGAACTTAAAAGTCTTCAAAATGTTAATTAAAAATTCCTAATTTTTTTCTGGAGACAGATTTTATAAAATAAAAGAATGGACTGAAAGATTTAGCAATGAAATTACTTTGTTATATACAAAGTGTTTTACTACCCAGAAATCTTCAAAGGCCAAGGTGTTGGCTGATTTTCTTGAAGAATTTTTTTGCTAGGAAGTTCAACATGTAATTTTAATTCTTTTCCATATGTTGTATTTTACATTGTATATGACAACCTAATAATTGGAGTTAAGTGAAGTATAATAATCCACTTGGTTCTTATATCAATGGAAAAACAATTATGCAGTTAGCACACAGTCAAAGGAATAATAAAATGCAGTTTGGTCTCTAACTTTATGAAGCTCTATTTCCTTAATGATGCTTTTCTTGAGCTAATATTAAAATTCTGTTTTTTGCATGTCGCAAACAGATGCCAGCAAAAGATGGTGGAGGTGGACTGGATATGAACAAAGCAATAAAGGAGTAGTGGCTTGAGATTAATTCTTGCCTATGGTAGCATTATGTGCAGGAATGGAGATTACCTGGGCCAAACTAGGACTGTGAATTCTAGGGACAGAATCTTAATGACATATGTTGCCAAGCTTTCATTCCTTGGTAGCACCTTTTTCCCCATACAGATTTTTCTGTTGCCCACTCTTGGCTCTTGCTCAGCCAGTTCCTAACTTAACAGTTGGGCACAGAGGTAGCTGGGTGCCTTCTACAGAGATGGTTTCCATCCTGCAGGTGGCTCCAGCATGATTGAAGCTCCTACAGGGTGCTGCATATGAATCTTATATATACTTTTATTATAGGGGTATATATTCAATGTTATATATAAGGAATACACATATACTCCATATATGTATACAATATATATAACTTATGTAACTATAGATACTTATGAGTGTCATGATGACTGTGACACTCATGGTCAAAAGAATGTATTTTTCTTTTGTGAACAAAGATGCTTCAGTTCCTTGAGACTGATATTAAATATTTACTTCAAAAAGTGTAAACATATACATTTCATAAAGTTAGTCATCAGTTCCCTGTGAAATAGTTCCCCACAGATTTAGAAAAATACATTTTTGATGACTAACCTTCAGCAGCCAGCCTTTGACATGTAGAAAGCACACCTCTGTTGTACTTAGGTTATATTGTAGTTATTTTTTTCTATTAAATTTTGAGCTTCTTGAGGGGAGTGATTATGCCCCTTTTTATATCTTCAGTATTGGACACTCAATAAATGTTCAGTGATACTGTCAGACCCAGAGTTCTCTTGACCAGAAGTGTCTTTTCACAGACATACGACTGCAGGTGACATTACAGACACACTAGAATCCCAGTGGTCAGCAGAGTTATGAGCTGGGTACCAGAGGTTTTGTACAGATGCCTCTGTAAGAAAGTTCAGAATGAATAATTTGAAGGCAAGTGTTCAATTGCTGGTTGAATTTGCAACCTGATTCTAGGCATCTAAGAAACCCATTTGATTTTGTAGCAGGGAAAGTTGAAATCCAAGAAACTACTTGAAAGGAAAAGATGAGGTATCAGTCAATCATTATATACTGCCTGTTTTTTCATTGTATATTGCCATCTGTCCTGTTTGTGCATGAGAGCACACAGTGGGCATTGTGCTGTTCATTAAGAACTCCATGCCAACAGTTGAAGCCCTGCAAATGCAGGCAAACACAAGGTCTACCAGTCATGTAACTTTTCATGTGAACTTCTTACTCAGTAAGAGAGGACAATGTGGAAAGAAATCTGGGCTCATCCACTTAGAAGCTAGTGATCTTGGAGGATTAATCTCTCTGTGCCTCAGTTTCCTCATATGTAAAACAATGATAGCAATATCTATGTCTTACAATTGAGATGATTAGGACTAATTTGTAAGGACTCTTTTAACTAGCACATATGACATCTACATTAAATATTTGATGACATAGCCCAAATACTGTTCTTTTTGAAATTTCAAGATTTAAATACGAAAAGATACTAAAATAAGTACTTCATAGAAGAGTAGGTTCTTTGATGACATAAAGAGGTGGGTAATTTAAAGTAGAAGCTCAGATTCTGTCCTTAGCTCTAAAGTGGCCTTGAGTGCTGCCCAAAAGAGAAGGTGTCATTCTCAGGTCAGGGTCTTACAATTCGAGTGGCATGGTAAAGTAAAGTGGCTGGATTTGGCACCAGGGGAGTTTGCTCTGGTTCACGCTCTGCCACTGACCCAGGGTGATTCCGTTAGCAGTGACAAGCTGCTTCACCTCTGTATTAGTTCCCTAGGGCTGTCCTAACAAACTACTGAAAACTGAGAGGCTTAAAATGACAGAATTATTTTTAATCCTCAACCGAGGACATGCTTTTGATTTTAGAAAGGGGAGAGGGATGGAGACAGAGAGGGAGAGAAACATAAACATCTATCAGTTGCCTCTTGTATGTGCCGTGACCAGGGACTGAACCCACAACCTTTCAGTTTACAGGACAATGCTCCAGCCAACTGAGCCACACTGGAGAGGGGGAAATAATAGAAATTTATTTTCTCCTAGTTCTGGAAGCTAGAAGTCTAAAACCAAGGTGTCAGCAGGGCCATTGACTCTTAAGGGTGGAAGGGACAAATATCCTTTTAGGTCTGTAGAAAATAAGTACCTAATATGATCATCTTTCTACTGGAACTCATCCCTGGTTACATTGACTTAGCTGATGGGAAAGACAGACCTTGGAAAATCCTTTGCTCCTTTAAATCCAGCAAGAGTATGATGATTATTGAGGGAAATGGCCAAACATGCCATTTGATAGGCATATTGGCTGTTTATTGCATCTTATTTTAATCTAATCAAAAATATTGAAAGTTGAAAAGTACACAAGTAAAAATGTTTCTAGTATAGCAAATCAATAAGAGCTCTCTTTGAAATAGCTTTATAATGTCCCCTTCGAACACTCTTATTCTCGGCATAGGAGCAGATGCTTGTGATGTAAATGTGTGCTGTTTTGAGTTTACAGTCATGCACCACATAACAATGTTTCGGTCAGCAGAAGTCCACATATGTGATGGTGGTTCCATAAGATTATAATGAACTTGAAAAATTCCTATTGCCTAGTGACATTGTAATGTGTGTTACAATTGCCTATAGCATTTAGTATGTATCATACAATACAGGTTTGCAGCCTAGGAGCAATATGCTGTACCGTATAGCCCAGGTGTGTGGTAGGCTGTACCATCTAGGTTTGTGTAAGTGCACTCTGTGATGTTCATGTGGTGACAAAATTGCCTAACAATGCATTTCTCAGAACTCATCACTGTTGTTAAGCATATGGCTATAATTTTGTCCCCACTCATTCATATGCTGAAATCCTAAGCAGGAAGGGCTTATATCACCAGTGTGGTACCCTCAAGAATGGGTTTATTACCTTTATAAAAGGGGTCCACAGAGGTCCTTAGCCCTTTCACCATGTGAGGACACAGTGAGAAGTCACCAGCAATGAACCAGGAACATGACTGTGCTGGTATCTTGATTTTGGACTTTTCAACCTCCAGAACTGTGAGAAATAAGTTTCTGTTGGTTATAAGCCACCCAGTCTGTGGTGTTTTGTTATAGAAGCTCAAATGGACAAAGATACCCCAGTACTTCGGAAGGTGTAGTTTAGTTAAAATGGCCCCTAATCCAGTATGCTTAGAAAAAGAAAATTTGACACATAGACAGATACACATAGAGGGGAAGATGATGTGAAGACACAGGGAGAAGATGGCCATTTACAAGCCTAGGATAAAGGCCTGGAACAGGATCTTCCTTCACAGCCCTCAGAAGCAATCAACCTACCTGATGCCTTGATTTTGAACTTCTAGCCTTCAGAAATGTGAGAAAATGAATTTCTGTTGTTAAGCCACTCCCTTTGTGGTACTTAGTTACAGTAGCCCGGGCAAACTAATACACATACTTTCTGGGTGTTTCTTCCTACCAATACCCAAATCTGAGTAGGGGATAAAGGAACCCACAGGCTGTTTAAACTGCAGGTCAGAACTGCCCCATGACCTGAAATTTCTGGACCATTTCCTTGGTGTCTCCTTCAGCCTTGTTCTTTTCCAAGGAGTTATTTTGTCAGGAATTGGACAGCAGACGAAAAAGCAGTCCTCTCTGCTTTCCCTTCTCCCCCACCCCCACGTTTACAGCCAACCTATTTTCCAGAGCTATGTTTAAGACAACCAACACTTAAAGAGCCTGCTAGACATTCAGCTCCCCAAAGTTGAGCCTTGGATGGGTCCTGTGTCTTTGAGGAAAATTAATAGGTGAGATCTGATTCTGCCCAGAGCTTCTGGCTCTTGGCTGTAGTGAGAGCAGTACTCAAGCAGTTGCCACAGCTATGAGAGGCCTCTCAAAACCAGAAAGCTCATTCCAGTGCTAGCTCTTCTACAGAAGGGAAAGGGGCAAAGAAATTTAATCTTTTAAAGAATAGTCTCAATATATATATTTTTCCTTTTCAGCCAGTACAGGCTACTCTGTCATCTTTGAAGATGTTAGATGTGGGGAAGTGGCCAATTTTCTCCCTTTGTTCTGAGGAAGAACTGCAGTTAATTCGTCAGGCTTGTGTCTTTGGCAGCGCTGGCAACGAAGTTTTATATATGACAATAAATGATGAGGTAATTTTGAAGAAAAACATTCAAGCATTTTTATTTTCAGTAAGGGATTTGCTAAACTGAAGATCTTGGGGGGAACTAAGGAATTAAAGTAAAAAAAGTGCAGAGAGTAGATTCTTATTTATCATTATAAATGAAGCAGTTTTGTTTTAGAGGCACTATGCCTGTTTGAGTGTAATTATAGATTTGTCAGAAATAGAACTGCTTGAACTAACAGTGGTTTTCCCCACAGATTTTTGTGCTTGGCACAAACTGCTGTGGCTGTTTGGGATTAGGCGATGTCCAGAGCACCATTGAACCTCGGAGACTGGATTCTTTAAGTGGCAAAAAAATAGCCTGTCTCAGCTATGGGAGTGGACCACATATTGTCCTTGCAACAGCAGGTAAGCTAGGAACACAGTGTAGAATTTTAGCCCTTGCTTCGTTTGTTGAGAAACAAGACTAGGACTACCCCTTAAATCGAGAACATCTCCTTGATTGGGCAAGAGTTTCTGGCTCTGCCCTGTGAACTTGACTATGCTCTGGACAACATGAAACATGAACATATCTGAATATCAAAGTAAGGTAATGTAGCAGCAATTACTGGCACTTTAGGCCCAGTAAGTCCCTTTTGTTTATGGTTTATAAGTATAATATTTTGCATTAAAATGGTGAACTCACTGTAGACTTTTTGAATTTGAGATTCTGGTCTATGAACTGAAAGACTAAAGTCAGATTCTAAGATCCCCTCCAACTCTTAGCATTCGGTGATTCTTATGTTAGTGACTGATGACTGTAATTGGTATTTAGTAATAAAAGGAATTAATATTCTCCTGGCTATTTCATGAATTCAGAATAATAAGACATTATAATTAAAACATACCTTCTAGTTTTTCTTAAGTATTACTAGGAATAAGTTTTATTAGTATTATTTAAACTGAAAATAAATTTTATATTCATTTGTATACTTATTTCACATTAAAATAATAACTTTTAAGGATTTTGGTTGCCAGTAATAGCAGCCTACATTATTCAGGTCACTTCTTCACTGAAAACAACTAAAAATTCTAGATAAAATATTAAAAATATTTTTCATAAAGGCATCAAAACACAAGGCAAAAAGGAATTATTAGATCAGATGTAGGAAAAAGTGTGAACTAAGAAGTCAGAGGGGAACTTGAAGCTAATTTTACCTTAAAGATATCTGCCTATTCACTTAAATGGAGTTGTGGTTTAATGTACTCATGAGGTAAAGGGGTCATAAGTCAAAGACCTCATAAATTAGTCTGGGACCACAAAGGACTACACTTGTAGGGCAAGGATAAGCTAGTTCTTTTATCTCACGGACTCAACTGAAGAATTCCTTGGCTCTGAGCAAATCAGGAAGAAAAAAAGGAAGAAAATCTCTCTCTGAGAGGTTATAACCATGTACTTGTATTCCAATTCACATCAATCTGAGTTGTCTAAGAAATCTCAGGTCTTGAATTTATTAAAGATAACTTTAAGTACCTTTAAGAAGTTGATACATAGCCTTATTTTAGGAAGGCACCTTCATTCTGGGCCTGAGGGAGATGATGCCATTGGAAAGTAATTTTCTAGTGGTAATTAGCAGCACATAGTCAAGGACAACAAGGTATATAATGAAACAGGCACCATGAAATGAGAACCATTGCAAGAAAGACAGCAAAAACTGACTACTAGATATCAGATATTAGAATTACCAGGCACCAATTATAAGATGGCTATATTGTTTGAAAAAATAAAAAATGAACTTGAAGATACTAGCGGAGATCATGAAAGATTTGAGAAAGAACCAAATATACAATATAATTATGAAAATGAAAAACTCAGTAGACAAATTTAGATGTAGTTTGGACATGGCAAAAGAGGAAATTAATAAACTGGAAGACTGACCAGAAGAAATTATCTGGAATGTAGCACAAAGAGACAGTATAGTAGAAAACACAGATGAAATAGGTATATACTGTATGCTGCCATTTATTTAAAGTTCAGAAACAGGACAAACTAAGTTCTGTTATTCAGGCTTATATGTAGGGTTCTTTTGGGGTGACATTTCCTTACCTGAATGGTAGTACATGGGTATATGTACTCTATAATTATTGATATAATTGTGCATATATATTTTATGAACTTTTATGAATGTGTATTATATTGTAAAAGTGATATAATAACAAAGATTAAAAAATAACTTGGTGATCATTTTGTAGATAAGGAAATTAAGGCCTAGAAAAGTCAAATCTTTTATCTTTCAATCTAATGATTTTTTTCTATTACTCTTAGCAGAATTTTTTTCCTGCTGTTTATTAAAAGCCTACCTTCCAGCTATTATAATTGCATTTATTTAAATTTTATCTTGTTCCTTTGTGATAGAATTTAGTTTATACTTTTCAAATTATTTTTTTATAGAATGAGTTTGGTGGAATAGTGAAGTTGATTAGCTTTTGCAACTTAATTTTTAGTTTTCATTTGTAGAAGTGTGCAATATATATTTTTGTATAATGAAGTATATATTTTGAAAGCTAATTATCTTTCTTTTTGTTTTCAGAAGGAGAAGTCTTTACCTGGGGTCATAATGCTTATAGCCAGCTGGGGAATGGGACTACTAATCATGGTTTAGTGCCCTGTCATATCTCTACTAATTTGTCAAACAAACAAGTGATTGAAGTTGCCTGTGGGTCTTACCATTCTTTGGTATTAACATCTGATGGAGAGGTAAGAATAATCAGTATAAGCTAATTAATATTTTTCAATAAGATTGTAATGATTCCTATAGCAGTCCTAGAAGTATGGTCATTTGATTAAAATGACCTCCTCCCTCAAACTCAGTCTTATTCTTGTTAGCAACTCATAGTCATGGTTTTATGCATGTATTAGGTTTACCTTTATGTAGTAAGAATTTCTATTACTGTGAAATTTAAAAGGATATATTGTTTCTTCTATATCACTACAGTCAAAGGGGTTATTTGCAAAAAGAAAAAAAACCTAAATGCTGGAAAATATGGCTGAAGCAAAGTAGATATTCTTATAAATATTACATGATATGTGATAATTACTGTTTGTGTAGATAAAACCAATAACCTAATTTTATAAATTAATACATTTTGTAATAAATTTTACAGAAACTTCTCTATATTGTGACAGTTTATGGGTATCAGTCACTTTGAGAGAAAAGATGAGGTGCCACAAGTATATGTTAGTATCCAATTTAGATGCTTTATAAATTATTGTATTTCATTAACTGATCTCTTCTTTCAAATAGGTATTTGCCTGGGGTTATAATAACTCTGGGCAGGTAGGATCTGGATCAACAGCTAATCAGCCAATCCCTCGAAGAGTCACTGGCTGTTTACAGAATAGAGTAGTTGTGAACATAGCATGTGGGCAGATGTGCTCAGTGGCGGTGGTAGACAGTGGGGAGGTAAGGTTATTTCATGTTATTTTAAAAAATTGTTTGCCTTATCAGTGTTGTATCAACATAGCATATTTTTCATAACATAACTTGATTGCTTTTTGTCTTTTGTTGGCATTGAGTCTCTTATTTTTTCTCAGGTTTATGTCTGGGGTTATAATGGAAATGGGCAGCTTGGACTTGGCAGTAGCGGCAACCAGTCAACCCCCTGTAGAATAGCAGCTTTGCAAGGCATACGTGTCCAGCGGGTATGTCCACTATTGGTTTATATGTGCCTATTATTAAGTCTTCAGTGACAAAGATACCAATGTATTAAAAACAGTTTTAATAGCAGGATGAAAAGCTTAGCTGTTTGGATATCTTCACTCAAATAAAGATTTAAGCTCTGTTTCCCTGAATTGAGTTATAGTTATTCATCAGAAAATTTAAATTTCTAGGACATTCTCATACATAGTTGTTGGAATATAAATTATTAAAATACTTTCCAAGGAAACTTTTAGCACTATGTATCAAGAACTTTAAAAATATTCATACCCTTTGATCTATAATTTTGGTTCCATCCTAAGGAACCAAAGAGAAAGTCACAGAATTAGTGGAGACATAACAGAAGAAGAAGCTGCAATAGCAAATGGTAACTTTAGTAAATAATAAATATAGCATAATTTATCTAATCAAACAATAAGGTAATGGTTAAATAAATTATACTAAACTTCTGTGAACAGAAATACTGTTTATAAAGGACAAAGGATTTTTAATGATTTGGGGATAGTGCTATGTGTAAAGTTAAGTGAAAAAAGATACAGCACTGACTTGGTGGCTCAGTTGGCTAGAGCATCGATTCATACATCAAAAAGGTTGCAAGTTTGATTCCACACCAGGGCACATATCTGGGTTGCTGGTTCAGTCCCTGGTAGGGGCATGCATGGGAGGCAACCAGTCGATGTTTCTCTCACATTAATGTTTCTTTTTCTAATCAATATACATCCTTGGGTAAGGATTAAAATAAAAAGACACAGAACTGCTCAAAAAAGCTATCTGTACATATCTTATATAAATAGAAAATATTGATCTTGAGATTACTTTCATGTTTATACTTTACTTTTTTCACACTGAACATTTTTTTAATAATAAAAATATTATTCTTAAAAAATAAGTGTCTGTTTATTATTAGCTTCATACCCCTTTGATCTCTATGGGCACAATGAATGTCATGTTAAAGCTGAACACTGGGCTTATGTCACTAAAGGACTCATGTCCATCTTACTGCAGTTGTGGCCACATGTGGAGCCTGAGCTTGTTCTGGAGGAATTAGTTAACGCTTGCCTCTCTGGGCAGGTTGCCTCTTCCCTTTTTTTCATTTTTGATTCTTAACCTATTTTGTGAAAGCATGTTTCCTTCTATTTGCAGACCTGAGTGGATTTGTTTTTTTTCTTTCAGGTTGCCTGTGGTTACGCACATACTTTAGTATTAACGGATGATGGCCAAGTATATGCTTGGGGTGCAAATTCTTATGGCCAGCTGGGCACTGGCAATAAAAGTAATCAGTCCTATCCTACTCCTGTTATTGTGGAAAAGGACAGGTAATATGTGCATTTTCAAAATAACTTCAATGTTTCTTAGTGATTAAACAAAATTTAGACATAATGTAGAATTATGGGGTATTTAGTGCTAGTATTAGAATATTCTTTAACAGGAGCATTCATTCCTCTTTAAAATTGGCTTTTGAATAGTTGGGGAATTTGACTGGATATTTGACTAAATATTCTATTTTCCCTTAGCCATATTTCATCTGTGCCCCCAATAGCTATTCTATACAAACTACAATGACTAAACCTCCAACAGCTATTCTACATTATTCTTCTCCCTCACAAATTACCTCTCTCCCTCCTCATTATTTTCTGTTTTACATTCTTAAGATGAAGTTGATAACATTTGCCTTCTATCTTCTGTGGTTCAGGAAAATTTGTTTCTTGATGTGAATCAGGTACAAAAATAGATGACATTAGACAAAGGCAGGAGGCGTTGGCGGTGGCTTTGGTCCCGAACTGAGACCTGAAGGTTTCCTCTCAGTTTTCTCCACAGTCCTTCCTATAGCAGCTGCTACGGTCAGCCAAGCCTGTGCCCCACCTCTGATTTCCCTTGTAGTACTTGGTGTTCCAGGAAAATATCACCAGGCCATGCTTAGGGAAGGCCAGGTCTACGTCCTTCTACATCCTAACCCCTTTGCTGTGTCTGCACCAACTTTTCTCCAAGAAGTGTTTCTGCTTCCTATTATGGCAAAGGCTGCTCCTGTTTTATGAAGACTAATAATAAGCATTCAGGAGCGAATGCAGAAATTAAGTTATTTTGATTTTCTGTGGTGGGTAGTTTAGCATAGACGAACACTGTTGTGTTTCAACCAGTTACATTTTTCATAGGATGTTATCACGGAAAAGGGAGGCTCTCATTTTAAGTGGTTTCCCAAAGTACAGAAAAGATATTCAGATAATCTAAGTCTGTGCCTGGTAGGTCATTGTGGAAGTCATTAAATATGATGAGAACAGAGAAGTTAATTAATGTTTATCTAAACAGTGTCGGGTTGTTCTAGCCTCCCCTTTTCACAGAGAACACCAGCTTGCTTTATAAGTGGTTAAAATGTATAAAGCCTTCTGCTTTTGTTAACTGCTTAGCTATCTGTATGTTGAGTCCCCCTCCCTCCATACTGTCAGGGTGGTGTTTTCTTATACTCCAAGGCCATCTTTGAAGCCTCTCCTTCCTCTCATTGATATTCTGGGGGAGGAGTAAACTTTACTCTACCCTCAATGTTCTGGTTGGTCTAATAATCAAATAGACATGTGACAGATTAGCAAGAGAAAAATAACTGAATGAATACATACACATGGAATGAAAACCCCACATACATGAGAGTTAGACTCTACATGCAAGAGAGGTTCAAAGATAGCAAGGGAGCATAGGTATATAAGACATCCTGAGATAGTGATGAGGTAAGTTGCCTTGGGGGCTTCAGAGCAACATTGCAGGGTAACAAGAACAGATGTTTAGTAAATAGGAGTTTGTCCTGTGCCATAGGTAGGTCAAAAGAGGTTATCTCTGATAATCTCTTACTATGGGTAAGGCCCCTAATTCAAATTTCTCTAGGTAGTTAAAGGAGGGGCAGAAATTTCTCTTGAGTCCATGGCTAAAGTTGCCTTTAGCTCAAAACAATCTGTATACCATACAAGCACATTTTGGGATGACTTGCTCTGAACTCCCACAGTATCAAAGGCCACCCCGCTTCTTTGTTGTCACCATGCTTGGACACGATGTCTGCACACCCATCAGCCTTCCCCAGCTTACTCATCTTCTAGGTTATTCTTTTTCTCCTTTTTAGCCTGTTTTGCACACTGTTGCCAGATTAATGTAAGAACTCCATTTTTATCAATTATGGTCCTGTTTACAAAGCTCTTTCCCATTAGTCTATCACAGCAGATCAAATCTAAACCCTTTTAGCCTTAGATTAAGACTGATACCACTGTTCCTAGCAAACCTCATTGCTTCTATCTATTTGTTAGGCCCTCTTAACATTGTACCTTCTCCAGTCTTGCCGTTTCCATCTTCTGCCTACACATTGGTACACGTATTTCTCTCTGCCTCACCTGCTCTTACTCATCCAAAGCCTTCGTGGCCTAGTTGAACTCCCTGTTACTTTAAATACTCCCTGAGGAGTACCCAGATAGTCCCCCTTACTCACCAGAGCACTTTTATGCAGTGCTGCTCTCTGATGTTATAAGGGAATTGTTTGCAGTTTCATAATGTGCTACTTCTCTCTTCAGCCCCCAGGCAGGCCCCATAGTGCCTGAAGCAGCTGTTAGTCATGGGAAGAAACCATTTTTGATTGTGCGCTGTGCTGGGTAGCTTATTTCATGTATTCTTCACCACAAAACTCCTCCTTTTTTTCCTTTTTTTTTTAAAGATGATAAAATGGATTATAAGAGTTTAAGTAACTTGGCCTCTGACTCCCAGCCCTTGTCTTGTCTACTACACAATCTAAAATGAATTGTTTACTGAAAACTACAATGTATTATTAAAAGATATTCAAGAAGACACAATGAAATGAAAAGATACTATGTGTCCATGGATTGTAAGAATCAACATAGTTAAAATGGCCATATTACCCAGATCAGTAGAGATTTTAAGCAATCCCCATCAAAATCCCAAAGTCATTTTTTAAAGAAATAGACCAAAAAAATCAGATTTATATGGAATCAAAAAAAGACCCTGGATAGCCAAAGCAATCCTGAGAAAAAAGAATGGAGCTGGAGGTATCACACTATCTGACTTCAAGTTATACTATAGGGCTACAATAATTAAAATCAATTGTTGGTACTTTCACATGTTGGTGTAACATTATAGTAGATTCACTTTTCTTTGAATAAATGTATGTATTCTATTTCCTGCTCCCTTTTTATTTATTTTTTTTTGAAAAGAATATCCTTATTGGGAAGCAAAATAGCATTGACCATTTTCCCCACGTAGGCAAGTTTTTTTTTTTTTTGAGCCAATTTGACTAACTTAACCATGCAAATAGGAAAAACCTTACTATTTTGAATTGATCATTAGAAATACACTGCCCCTATATAGGGGAGGCTTTGGCACTTAAAATATGAGTAAATGTAGTAATATTGAGAAACCTCTACTGTTAGGCTATCATTTGTACACCAGACATCATGCTTGGTGCTTAACATTTTCTCATTTCTCTCATACTGTCCTTGCACTGTGATGAAATTGAGACTCGTAGATACTCAGGGACATTCCAACAGTCACATGGCTTTATGGTAAAACTAAGATTCAAATTTAACTCCATCCGCTAGGCTTTCCATTTTGAAACATACATCCAAGACATACAGCATTTCCTCCAATACCCTTGGGCCATTTTCAAGAGCTGAGAGCTGTCCTCTAATAAACCAGTAAAATTACTTGGACTTCGCAAGAAAACAATGTATCTCTCAGCCTTCTGAGGCAAGCTGCCACAGCAATCTCCAGGTTGTACGATGACCATCCTCCCTCCTTGATTGGGAAACCTCTAGTTAAAGCACACCATGAAGGAATATCTCCACCCTTCCGTTGCTAGCCTTGGTCAGTGGGGTCTTACCCACTCCTCAGTTGCTCTGTGTTCTTGTGTCTTTCCCAATTAGTCAATAAAATGATCCACATATTATATTTAGTAAGACACTGTACTGGGTGCTTAGTGGGAAAGAGAGAAATAAGTCAGCAAATCAGCCTGTCAGGAACTTGTAATCTAACTGAATAGGTAGGACATATTCAACTGAAAGAAATGGCCAGGCTGGAGTGGTGTGGATACTGCAAGAGCTCAGGTGAGTGAGAGACCTCTTACCTCGGGACTGTTTGAACTGGGCCTTAGAAGATGGGTAAGATTTCTGAGGCAGAGAGAAAAGAAAGAACATTCCTGATTAAGGACTTTAATTGTGATAAAAGCATTGAGGGATAGCGAGTACATCTGTTTGTTGGAACATAGGATGTGTGGGCAAAAGCCATTTGAAATAAGGCTGGACATAGGTGGAAGCCAAATGAAGGAAGGCCTTGATGTCACTTGTCTGGGTTTTATCTTTTGGGAAATAATAAAGGTTTGAAAGTCCTGATGAAGGTGGTGTTTTAAGAGGGTTCTTCACCTGCTAGTGTATGCAATTTGGGTCAGAGCAGAGAGAAATTCTAAGGCGGAGGGATCTAGGAGGAGGTTCCATGGGTCCAGATGTGGGGTGTGTTTGACTGAGGGTGGTGGCAGATAAGAGAACTTACAAAGGATTTATGTTATTTGTTAACTGGATATTCTGAAGAAAGTGGTGAGGAAAAAGAGGCCAGAGATAATTCTGAAGTTCTGAGGGTAAGTCATGGAGGATGCTGACACCCTTGCCTGGTGTGAAACTCAAGGTGACAGCCTCTCGGGCTGAAAGAGTTTACTATCTTCTTTGAATCTGTGTAGTGGTTTATTCTTAGGGCAAAGAAATTATTTCCAAATCAACAAAAACAGTGTTATCTATTAGGAAGTGTTCTGAGAACCACCCCCTGGCAATCATGAACTTGTTGCACTAGAGTCTACATGCTGATCCCAGAAAACTGCACTGTTGGGCTCTAGATAGTCTAGTGAGTTATAACTACAGAATTTACTGTTTGCAATGTGAGGTGGGGTTGCAATTTACTTACAGCATGTTCCATTTAACCCTATAATTGGTGACGTTTTGATAAAAACATTTTTTGACCCTGGGTCAAGACTTGACCTGGGTCAAGTCTTTATTATCTACTTCAGTAATATTTTAACAAAAATATTATAATTATCCTTTTCTCCCTGGTCTGTACTCTCTTAGATTGTACTTCAAAATGGGGTGGTACATTTTTTCTTTAATCATCACCCAAGGATGTTTATTGATTTTACAGAGAAAGAGAGGGAGGGATGGAGGGAGGAAAGAGAGAGAAACATCAATCAGTTGTAATTGCCTTCCCTACATGCCCTGACCTGGGATCAAACACACAACCTAAATATGCTAGGTGTGTGCCCTGAATGGGAATCAAACCCACAAACTTTTGGTGTAGGGGATGACGTTACACCCGACTGAGCCTCCTGGACAGGGCAGGATTGTATATATTTTTATAGGCCTACTGGCTAGAAGTGATAACAAGATCTTCATTAGTTATACGTTCATTGAAGTATAGCTTCAATGTAAATACTTGTATATTGCCTGAAAACTTAGGAGATTAGGTGTGTAAATCTTGTTTTGTTTTGTTTTTGAAATCAAACCTAAGGGAAAGAGAGATCAACTCATTTCTTCTCCTGTTTACTGTGGTTACTTGGTGTTTATGAACTTAGAATTATAGAAATTGCAGCCTGCCACTCTACCCACACATCTGCTGCCAAGACCCAGGGTGGGCATGTGTACATGTGGGGCCAGTGCCGGGGCCAGTCAGTGATCCTGCCTCACCTCACCCACCTCTCCTGCACGGACGACGTGTTTGCCTGCTTTGCCACTCCCGCCGTCTCCTGGCGCCTCCTCTCTGTGGGTGAGCTGATCAGTGTCCATTTGAGTGATGGCTTGAAAACTAGGAAGAGAACTCTGGTGCTTTTATTTTGATAGGAAGGACCTTGTTAAGTGCAGTATCATATAATTTATTTCCTTTAATGGACTCCTGTGAAAAGGAACTAGTTTGATTGTTTTTCTTAAAAGTATGACACCAACACTACATGCTAAATTAAAAGTACTTTTAATTTGATTGCTGCATTTTAATTTGACTGAGAAACTATTTTTTTCCTAGCAAGTATATTTACTCAAACTTAAAAAATTTCATTTAATGAGGTGGTTTTGGACTTCATAGTTGTCGTTTTGGCAGATTTAGAAGCAGATGTGTGTGAGGTTTTAATTCTTGATGATTGAAGAGGTGTGAATTCATGTTTAGGTGAAAAAAGCATTGCTTGGTTCAATTATTTTGGAGTATTGATATTTTCATGAGTGCCTACAGAGCAATGCTGTATTGCAACCTGCATTTTCATTATGTCTGTAGTTAACTCAGACAGACTGGTGTTGTTATTCTCTTAGAACCCGATGACCACCTCACAGTAGCTGAGTCACTGAAGAGGGAATTTGACAACCCCAATACTGCCGACCTGAAATTTCTGGTGGATGGAAAGTACATTTATGCACATAAAGTCCTTCTCAAAATTAGGTAAGGAGTCATATTTTGAGAATTGAAATAAGTACATTTATTATTTGCTAATCTAATATGAAAACAGGATATGAAAAAAATGTAAGGCAGATTTTGCCCTTATGAGCTTACAGTGCAGCTAGAGGAAACACATTATACACGAAACAAGAAATAATAGAGGCCGGATGCAATGAGTGCCAGGATTGTAGTTCAGGGCATAAGTACTCTAGGCTTTCTTACAGGGCTTCACAAATGGTCTGTCCCCCTTGGCTTCTGAAAGCAGCCAGCTACCAGCAGGTGAGTGTGCTGTGTGCTTTTATTACTGCATGGACTGCTTCCACACAAGTAAATTTCCTAGCTAGGAGCTGGGCTCAGCCTCTAAACATCACTCTCCTCAGTCAGCTGTGGGGTACTGAACTTTTTGATGCTTGAAAAAAAGAGAAGATAAGGCTTTTCTGCAGCAACAAGATCTAAGGTGGAGCTAACACATATTTTTAAAACAATCAAATATATTGATAATAAATATAATTTTTGATCAATAACCTGCATTCAAAGTGTGCATTTTAGGAACTTTGACATATGAATACACCTGTGAAAGCATTGCCCCAAATCAAGATAGAAAATGTTTTTGTCACTCCTCAAAGATCCCTCCTGCCTCAGCCCTGCGGCAGGAAATCTTTTTTCTGTCACTATAGATTAGCTATCATTTTCTAGAAGTTTAATAAATAGAATTATACAGTATGTATTCTTCTGTGCCTGGCTTCTTTCTTTTAACATAATGATTTTTTAAATCATCATGTTGTTGTGTAACAGATATATAAAGTCTATGGCAACAAATCACAAGCTCAAAATAGCATTTTAGTCTCAAGTTCACCTCTTATTAAGGTAAGGCTGTGTAACATTTGTTCTCTCTTGCCATGGTCCATAAACCTTCATAAAGGATGGGTGTGTGTTAGTTTGCTAGGCTGCTGTATGTAACAAAGTACTACAAACTGGGCTTCAACAAAAGCAGTTTATTCTCTCACAGTTTTGGAGAAGTCCAAGATCAAGGTGTTCAAAGGATGGGTTCCTTCTGAGGGCTAGGAAAAAGAATTTGATCCAACTCTCCATGGTGTTTTGCTGACAGTCTTTGGTGTTCTTTGGCTTGTGGTACTATAACTTGAGTCTTCACATCACCTTTTCCGTGGGTGTGTGTATGCCTGTGTTCAAATCTCTGCCCCACCCTTTTACAAGGACACCAGTCATACTGGATTTGGGTCCACCCTAATGACCTTGTTTTAACTTGGTAACCTCTGTAAGGACCCTTTCTTCACATACTGTTATATTCTAAGGTTAGGGCTTCCACGTAGGGATTTTGGGAGGCACAATTCAACCCGTAACAGGAAATGGAAAAACAAAATTACTAAGAGGTTATAAAGATAAACTCACCTGATTTCCATAAATGCTGCACTGGGGACATGGTATGGGAACTCTGCCAGGGAGGCTGGCACTGTTTCTGCCAAGCATGGCTGCAGGGGCAGCTCCACCATGGCAGGTTTGCATTTGCAACCTTTTTGAATTAATGGTTGCTTAAAAACTGGCCAGCAAAGGAAGTGAGGGACAGGGCAAGAATATGAAGGTATGCAACTTGGAGAATGCCGTTTGTAGTGTTGTGATTTTCCCTTCTTGTCAGTTTTTCCCCTCTAAGCCCCACAGGGGCACACTCCTTGGGTTTATCTGCTCTTGCACAGAAGCTAAGACCTGACATATTTTTCTTTCTTCAGGTGTGAGCATTTTCGTTCTTCGTTGGAAGATAGTGAGGATGATATTGTAGAAATGAGTGAATTTTCATATCCTGTTTACCGAGCCTTCCTGGAATACCTGTACACAGACAGCATCAGCCTTCCCCCTGAGGAGGCAGTAGGTAAATTAAATGACTTTACCAAGTGATTGGCCAAGTGCTGGGAACCGGGGAAGGTGGTTTCTGTAGAGCCTAAACGGACATTGCTGTGAGGGCAATCACAGAAGGGGTTCTCTTGTTGTGTGTTGAACCCAAGCTGCTTTCCCTTGTTACTACTTAATATAAAGATTGACTGGAAAATAAGAGAGATGAATTATCAAACCATTACCACTGTTGAGTGGGTGCCATTCTTAAATGCTATATGTTAGTATCGTACATAACTTTGAGATATTATACCTGTTGCCCTCAAGATGTCTGCATTATAAAAAAGGTAAAATGGACATAATAATAAGCCCTGCTGATTTCCATATCTGTGAACTTCTGCCCCAGATGGCTGGTGCATCCTGTCCTGAAAGGAGTGAGGGGCGTTCACCTGCCAGTGAAAAAAGCAACACAGGGTATCCAATGGACACAGTTAAAAACATACTAAGTTTCAGTTTACAGCTGTCAGCAACACTGTTGGCCAAGGGTACAGAAAAATTAAGGAATTACTTGTATAAGGAACTAAAGAGTGTTCAATCCCCCAATTTTTAAATTAAATGTTCACTTTACATGTATAAACCAATAACATTTTTTATCAGGTCAGCATTTAAATTTACCCAGGTAAACAGAAGTCTGATTTTTGAAGTTTTATAATTTTCCTTCCTTTCTTCCATAAATGTTTTAGTGCCCATGCCCACTATGTGTTGCAGCTCCTCTTGGTGTCTGTGAGGAGACAGACGGAGGCCCTGCTGCTGTGGAGCTTGTATTCAGATGAGGGAGACCAGCCCTAAACAAATAAATACAAGCATCAGTCAGGAGGGTCAAGGGAGGCCTCCGTCGGGGAGTGCACTGAGCAGAGACCTGGGTGAGTCATGAGGGAGTGAGCCATGCAGATACCCAAGGAAGAGCCTCTAAGCATGGGAAACATAAGTGCAAAAGTCTGAGACAGGAACAGGTAGATTTAGCATCTGGAGGATGAGGGAGAAAGCCAGGGTGGTTGGAGTGGACTGAGCAAGACTTGTAGTGGTAGGAATTGAGAAGTGGAGAGCTGGGCAAAATCACATATGATCTTGAAGGCCATGGTGAAGAGCTTGAGTTTTATTCTTGGTGTGATATAAAGCCTTGGAAAGCTTTTAGCATAGGGTTGTGTTATTTAGGATTTGCTTCAATTCTGAAGTAAAGTGGCTTAAACAAGATAGGGTCTGTCACACAGGGATACACTGCAGAGTATTTGTTCACGTGACTCCTATGCTAATGGTCCAAGAGCACATCTGCATTACATCCCTTAAGGAAGGACCCTAGAATTTCTGTTTATTTCAAGCCATGAACCAGAGCTAACTAAGTCCATAACCCAGATGCACAGCAGTGGGGGAAAGCATGGTCATATCCAGATGGCCATGGCTGAGCTAAATATTCTATGGTTTTGGAAGAAAGGGAGAATGGATTTCCATGGATGCGCTTGTGTGTGTGGCGGCGGGGCGGGTGAGGGGGAAGCAATGAGTAGCTTCTACAGTAGGAGTGATGCTTTTAAAAGATCAGTAGTTATAATAGTTCAGGTATGAGATGATGGTACTGTGGGTTAGGGTGGTGTACCGATCAGATTCTGGATATTTAAAGATGGAGCTGATGGGATTTGTCAATGGATGGGATGTGGGGTATAGGGGAAAAAAAGAGAAGGATGACTGCTCTGAGGTAATTGGCCTGAAAGGCTGGGTTAAGGAAAGCATCGTTCACTAAGATGAAGAAGATGAAGATGTATTCCTCTTGAGTTCGAAAGGTCAAAGGTGTGTGAGCTGCTTTATTAGACATCCAAGTGGTGTTATTTTACAGGCTCACCCCTATTTGCAGGGCCCTGGGAAAGAGTCCAAATTAAGGGCTACGTACCATATGTCTAAAAATTCAAAGGTATATATTAAGCTAACAAACTTCTGATAAGGCATGTTCAATCCTTATACCTCGAAAAGTATACCTTCATTGACAACTGAAAGGCCAGGTTTAAGTTTTAGATGGAATTTAGAGTTGTGGCACTCCTTCGAGTTCTCTGCTGGAATACAGTGGCATGGGAGGGACAGGCTTCCAGTTTGTAGCTGGCTGCCTTTCTTTCTTTTCCCACCACCAGCTATGTACTCCATCACAATGATGTGTGGGCACCCCAGCCTGCATGGCCAAGCTCCATCCACCCTCAGCTTGGGCCGCCCCTTGGGGATGGGGTTCTGTACATTGGTATCACAGTTTGGAGGGGAGGAAGTACTCATACATGTGGCTTCAGGGCCAGTTAGGTGGGTAATCCTTGGATCCCAGGTGCCCAAAATGTGGTCTAAGAGTGGGTGCATGGCTCCTTAACCATACTTTTCACTTGGGATGTATCTGACAGAGGCTGGGAGCGGGGCCCTCTAGAGCAGAGATTCAAGGCAGGGTCCTTTCTTAGGGTAGTGTCTTGACTACATGTCGGTCGATGCGAGTCTGAAGCTTGGGATTGTATAGGGCTGTTGATAAGAGTTTGGGAGTTGTTGAGAACTGACTGAAAACAATTGAGCCATTCACAACTCTCAAGGTTTCAGTATCCTCCAATGGGCGATAAGCTTTTCTGCCATAACTTTGTTAGTCTTTGTCATGTTACAATGAAAGCAAGTTTCCAACCAAATTCTTCTACATGTACAAAAATTAGGAACAGACAGATACGAAAACAGTTAATGTTGTAAGATTGATGAAATCCCAGCTCTCTGTCCATTAGGCCCTCTATGAAGTAGCTTATATGAATGGTTAGCATGAAGTAGAAGTGACAATATTCTAGTAGTAAGATTTAGCTAAGCTGTTAATCAGGTGGCAGCCTAGGACTAGATGAAGACCTAGTGAATGTGCTACTCCAGGGGTGTAGAACTGCTGAGCTCATGATGCTTGAACTTCATTTATGCAAAGGCAAAAGGACCTTCACAATATTCCTAGCCAAGCCATATACCAAACACTGTTCATTTCACGAAAAACAAAATATTTCTAGCACTGTGTAATGAAGATTTAACTAGCAGTATCTGAGGCTCCTGACAGGGTCTTTCAAATGCTAACTGGCCATTCCTCATTAGAAGACTTCACAGTGTCCCATGGGGTAGATTGAAATTAACTGGCATGTGTATGTTGCTCTATGTCATCTGAAAGTAGATGATGTAATATGACAGCATACATCAACACTTATAGATGGTATTTACAACCATGGGACTCGAATCACTTAAGGAAATAAATGAATTAAGAATCTGAGGATTGAACCCTGGGGCACCGAAATATTTGAAAGTCAGGAAAAATGGTTCAGCAGAGGGACTGAAGAGGAACTAATTAGAGAAGAAAAACACAAGTGAGAAGAAGTGGAGCATCATCAACCACATCAAGTTCTGTGTATATCTTGAGTAAAGTGAAACCAGAAAAGAGCCCCATGGACTTGGCATCGTGGAAGCCATTACTGATAATCCCAGGTGTGATGTCAGTAGTGGAGGAGATGGGAATTATGCCTGGAACGGCTTGAGGTGAGACTGGAAGCTGAGAAAATAGAGGCAGGAAGCAGAGATGACTCTCCCCTGGAGGTTTGCTGTAGAGAGAAGCAGAGAAATGGAGTAGGTGATGAGAGGCAGACATGAGTACATGAAAGATTTTTCTTTTTTTCTTTCTTAAAGAGATGAGCTCTATGATAGCATGTATGTGTGCTGATGGAAATGACCCAGGAGCAGATATTGGCAATGCAAGTGGAGAGAGAATTTGGAGGGCATTTCTAGGAAACATATTAAAGTCATTTTCACTGTGCTATTTTCCCACAGCTTCTTATTTGCTCAGTTCATCTACGTTCTTAGGTAGAGCCACCCACTCAGAGTGTAAGTCAGTACAAGTCTATTTATACAGCCTTCCCTAAGGATTATATTAAAAATCATCTCTGAAGGGTTGAGTGAGTTTAAATCAGGATGCTTGAAGTCACTTCATGTATCTCTTTCTGCCAGGATTGCTAGATTTGGCTACATTTTATAGAGAAAACCGATTGAAAAAGCTCTGCCAGCAAACTATCAAGCAAGGAATCTGTGAAGAGAATGCCATTGCTCTACTCTCTGCTGCTGTGAAATATGATGCTCAGGTAAGAAAAGCATTTTTTCAGTTAGCCTACCTTCTGGAAAAAATAGGTAGGTGTCTACTTCATACCTTAAACTAAAATAAAGTCTTGGTAGATTAAATACTTAATGTAAACACATACAGTAACATATCAGCCAAAATATTAGTATATGTTTATATAATGTTAGGGCCAGACCTCAAAGAAAGAAAACCATAAAGGAAAGGATTGAGGGATTTAGTTTCAAAAAGATAAACATTTATACAGCTCTGGCCGGGTGGCTTAGTTGGTTGGAGCATTGTCCCATACACCAGAATGTTGCGAATTCCATCCTTGGTCGGGGCATGTACGGTAGATGACGTTTCTCTCTCACTTCTCTCATGTTAGAGTGTGTGTGTGTATGTGTGTGTGTGTGTGTGTGTGTGTGTCCTCCCCCACCCTTTCCTCTTTCTTTAAAATCAATAAACATACTCTCAGGTGAAGATTAAAAAAAAAAGAACAAAAAAAAAAACTGGGAAAATTTCTTGTAACATATAATGAAGCAAGCTTACCATAGTTAATACATAGTTCTTTTCTTTTTTCTTAAGAGAGGGAGAGAAACATCAATGTGTGGTTGCCTCTCGCGTGCCCCCCACTGGGGACCTGGCCCACAACCCAGGGATGTGCCCTGATTAGAAACTGAACCAGCAACCCTTTGGTTTGCAGGCTGGCACTCAATCCACTGAGCCACACCAGCCAGGGCAACATAGTTCTCTTTTAAATCTGTATTGTATTTTTTTCCATTACCATTTTGTCCTCTTATACTGCTGCATTCAGCAATCACCACACTGTTGTCCAAGTCCATGAGTCCTTTTAATATATAATTCTTAAAAACAAAAAGAAAACATGAGCAGTTTGACTAGAAAAAAAATGAACCAAATGGATTTGTGAATAAATGAAAAATATAAATAGAAACACTTGTCACATTGGGGAATATGTTTTTAGAAATAATACAGACTCAGAACAATGGGTGACCTAAACTGCTAATGAAAGTGCAAATTGGGCCCTGGCTGGTGTGACTCAGTGGATTGAGTGCCAGCCTGCGAACCAAAGGGTCACTGGTTTGATTCCCAGTCAGGGCACTAGCCTGGGTTGCGGGCCAGATCCCCAGAGGGGGGGTGCATGAGAGGCAACCACACATTGATGTTTCTCTCCCTCCCCTACTCCCTCCTTTCCCCTGTGTCTACAAATAAATAAAATTAAAAATCTTAAAAAAGTGCGAATTGGTACAGTCATTCTAGGGCACAATTTGGTAAAATATGTATTAAGCTGGGTGGTGGGGAGGAGGGATAGAGCAAAAAGGAAAAAAAAATCATGGAAAAGGACAACAGTGTGGTAATTGCTGTGGTGGGGGGGTTTGGGAAGGTAAAGGAGGGTATAAGGGAGGTGAGTTGTGATGGGGTGGTGAACACACAATAGTGCACAGATGATGTGTTGTAGAATTGTGGACCTGAAACCTATATAATTTTGTTAACCAGTGTCATCCCAATAAATTTAATAAAAATGAAAACAAGTTTTTAAAAAAGACCTTTAAAAGATGTAATTCTTTGAGAAATTCATATACAGCAGTTTGTCTTAAGGAAGTAATTATGGATTTTGACAAGGATTAACTTCAAAGAGGTCTACTGCAGCATTGTTTATAATTTTGAAAAATTAGAAAAAGTCAACATGAACCCTAGAGGATTGTTTAAACTATACAGAATGTTAACATGAAATTATGCAGCTATTCAAGGTATATCATTAACTGAAAAGCTATGGTCTTATTTTTATTTTTTAAAAATGTATAAATAGCTGAATTAAAAAAACTGAACTTCATTACCTATGAAGAAAAAAAAGACTGAAAATATGCTATATTTTGCTGTGTATAATGTGCACTGGAGGTTTTGTGTGCATTATACATAGGATTATTATACCCATGGCATGTAATCATTACACCCATGTATAACTCACATCCTTATTTTTCCCTCAAAAATTTGGGCAAAAGAGCACATTATACACAGCAAAATATGGTAATCAATGGTTATCGTTACATGGTAGGATTACAGATGATTTTCATTTCCTTATCTTTGCTTGTTTTTTCCTGAACTTTGTACCCTGACCATGTACTGTTTTGGTAATAAAGGAAGGAAAACTGTCTTAGAGCTAAATCTTTAGGAAACAGGCTGTACTTCCTAGAGTCAATTTCCTTTTGATATAAGGATATCCTCTTCTTTGGTTAAAAAAAAAAAATAAAGGGACATTTTATTGGTGGGTAGAAAAAAGGTTATAACCTTTTTTTCTGTTTATATAAATAATAATATGCTTATTAAAGAAAACTTGGAAAGGAATGACCTATCAACCAGAGAACATAACATTTTCACACAGCTCCTACTGATCTTTCCTAGATTGTATTATGTATATCTCTAAATAATATTTTTTTTTTTACTTCACATTAAAAAAAATCTTACCCACCTAGAAACATTGACATTTAAAAGCATAGTGAATGTTTGTCTTTCATCAAGGTAACGCTTTATTGGTCAGGGAATAAAATGCAAAATGCTTATGGACCAAAAAAATTCCTGTGCGTTTTTTCTAGTTTGGTAATGCCAAGGTGATAATACTGGACTCTGGTGGGCTACCTCAAATAACAAAAAGTTGGGCATATTGTGTTTCCACCTGAACTAGGTCTTAATTTCCAAGACGTTTTCATATTTTCTTATTTACATGAATTATTTGTAGTTACCTTGCATCCCTCTGTTTTCTAGAAAGTAAGCCCCTTGAGGAATGGCAAGGACTTTGCACACAACTAAATCCCTCATGCCTAGAATAGTGCCTGACACATATCATTAAATGTTTAATGAATGTTCAACTTTGCCTTTACTATTGCCCATGAAACTAAGAGTTGTACCTGAATTATTATAATAGACTAAAATTATAGAAAGAACAGTGTATTTGCTATCTTGTTTCACTTTAGTGTGCTGTAGGCAAAAACGTCACTTCTAAAAATTAAGCTAGAGTCCAATAATTTAAAATGGATATTGGTATATTCAGTATATATTAATAACACACATTTTTATGTATAGCCACATACAATGATGTCAGGTGGGTGCCTGGAATTTTGCCTATGAGTGCTTACCTGGGACTGAGAGATGTTATACTACGAGTGTGACACTAGCAGCCTACACAGGTGTTTAGGGATGAAATAGATAGGTTTTCTCCCTGTATTTTTTTTCTTCAAACTTACTGTGAATTTGATTGGCATGGCTATTAGTATTGCTCTTTTTTGTCTGTTTTTTCATCTCTAGCATTTTCTCTCATTTACATGTATGTAAAGAAGAAAAGATCATAGTGTGTACTGTGTACACATATGATTGCTTGGACATTATTCTGGGTTTCATTTTTTATAAATTAGTTTCAGCTAATACAGCATAAATTTTAAAAGTTGACCACTACTGGGCAACACCTTGTCCTGTGTCAAGATGGCTGCAGAGTGCAGGGCCAAAGGCATATTGGAGTCTCCTCAGGCTGGTCTCACTTTAGCTCTAATTTTTCTGGGGCCAAAAAAGCCTTCAACTACCTTCGTTCTGTCTCAAGTTTCCAGATCTAATCAAGAGAGTTTCTAGAGGATTATTCTTTGGCTCAGAGTGCATTACAAGAAGCCAAAAACACCAATCTGAGGAGTTTCTCTAAGGAGAAAGTCATGATTTCCTCAAAGCATTTTCCAGTTAAGATTACTGAAGATATGCAGGGTCTGATGAAATGCAATCATCCCATCTTTTGACTTCTTGTAAAGGCAAAAGAGCAGTGGCCTGTTAATGACGTCAGAGAAGTGGTTTCCCAGCATTACTGTTCTTTATGTCAACTTTTCTTTCTCATAAACTCTTTATAGGTAGAAATATTTAAAGCCCTTAGGGATATATAAGAAAGGAGTATTAAATACTTTTAATAAATATTCAAAGTGGAATGAACAATACAAATGCTCTAACTATAAAAAGTATAGAATTCATACATATAGGTGCCTAACTCTGGCATTGGTTGGTGTGGAGAAACTTGAATGTTTTACTCTGTTATTTACATTTTTCATAAGCATAGATTCATATTAGCTCAGTAGTTTTATAACTATTCTTTAGGTATTGCTGTACCAACATTTCTTCCTATTGGCTAGCTAATCCTTTTTCTTTGCCTGTGTGTTTAGGAATTTTCTTTCTGTGTTGCATTGCACTGGGAAACATGAATTTGTTAAAACATTTTTTTTGTTGTTCTTAGGATTTAGAAGAATTTTGCTTCAGGTTTTGCATAAACCATTTGACTGTAGTAACACAAACTTCCGGCTTTGCAGAAATGGACCATGATCTCCTGAAGAATTTTATCAGCAAAGCAAGTAGAGTTGGAGCCTTTAAAAATTGATTCTCACCTGCAGGAAATTTTGTTTTAGCATTTCCTTTTTGCCTGAAACAGCCAGAGAATAACTTCTCTTTAATAATATTAATGATGAACTACATTTGGCTGAATACTTGTTCTGTCAAAAGGAGGATGGTGGTCAGTCTTCCCCATCTGTTGAAATTCAAAGTTGGTATAGAAGGCATTAAATGATGTGCTCAGATGTGACTAAGCTCCAGGGGAAAAAATATTTAAATGTCATCTTATATTTACTATTTCCTTTCTCAATTCACTGAATTGGCATATTGGTCTAAGTGTACACTATTCTGGCTAACTCTTCCATTACTCAGCAGGCTGATTCACATAGAGAGCGTGGTGAAGGATGCTGTCACCACCACGCTGCCAGCGTCCAGCACAGTGCCTTGCATAGAGTAGGCACTCAATTAATTTATTATAAACCTAAGTATGTGCTGAGGACAGCTTTATTTGTGGGATGCTGGATGAAGGAATAACTGGCACGAAAACAAATTTGAAACAGCCTGTATCTATTAAGGTTCATATTCTTTTGGTGCATTGTTCTGAAAAATAGTGGCTAATTTAGAGCATTAATCTGAATTCACAAAACGCCTTGGCAAATGAATTGTCAAAGGCCCAAGGGCTAACTTTCATTTCCTGTTTACTCTGAGTTAATGATTTGTTGTACGGAATTACCGAATATGAAGTACTATCTCTGAATGAATGTTATTTCTGGGCTTATCTGCCTTACACAATTGCATAATGTCCTTTGCTTTTGTGTTACAAGAGACTTGCCTCTGTAAATAAAAATGTTTGTGTTTTTTAGTTGACTTTTCTGTCACTTGAAATCAGGTCTCTTAATCTGGAACAGTATAATTATAAAGTACTAGCTGAAAAGGAACTAATACATTTCATGTACAGCATTAAGAAGAATGAGATAAATTTATACTTTTTTGATCACAAAAAGCTACCCAACTGCAAAAGAGAAACTGGAACGGGATGTAGGATGTAGCACCAAATTCTCCTAATATGTTTCACAATGTGGTATTGTGTAAAGAAAACTTTTGGAAAGTATAAACCTTGTTCTGATGCTGAACTATTTGATAATAAAGTGCTTATTTGCAGATAATAGATGTTTTTTTTTTCAATTACAGTTTACATTCAATATTATTTTGTAGTAGTTTCAGGTAACAGCATAGTAGTTAAACAATCATATATTTTATAAAGTGATCTTCCCCATATTTCCTGGCTCCCTACCTAGTTATTACAATTTTATTGACTATATTTCCTATGCTGTACTTCATAGCCCCAGGATATATGCTTTTTAATCCCAAAGAAACAGAGATTATGTATCTCTTAGATATCTCATATGTATAAATCCATGTGATATAAGCTTGTTTTTTAAAGCAGTTACTCAAATACGATTTCATAGCAAAGCCCACTTAAAACAGAAATGGTTATAATACAAATTATTTGTATTATTGCCTCTATTGGTGAGGTCACTTTTGAATCCTTAGTTCCTTGTTTATCTGTTTTCGCAGAACTTATTTTGTAGAGGCAAAGTAATCTGGATGCCTCTAATTCCAAATCACAATTCTATTCTTGGAACTACAAAGTCTTATTCAATTATTTGTTATTTTAAATTAGTCATATCATATGCCATTTGTTTTCATTCTTTGGAAAATTTGCTATTATATCCAACAAAGAAATATTCAGCCCTAGCCAGTGTAGCTCAGTGGTTTGGAGCATTGTCCCATACTTCAAAAGGTGGTTCAGTTCCTGGTCAGGGCACATACCTAGGTTGTGGGCTCGGGCCCTGGTCAAGGCGTGTATGGGAAGCAACCAATTGATGTTTCTCTCTCACATCGATGTTTCTCTCTCTCCTTAAAAATCAATAAACTTTTTTTTTTTAAAAGAAGTACTCAGACTTGGCTATCACCTACAGCTATCAGTTCTCACAGTTGGACAACCACAGTTTCTGAATTTTCTTCCTCACCCTCTGATCAAAACCTTCCTATCTTCAGAGTGTCTTCCAAAACCTTACCTTCCACTTTCTTGCTGTTTGTAATAGGGTCTTCTGAAGCTCCTAGATGCCTTTTTCTTTTATGAACTCATTTCATGCAAAAATTGGAACACTCAAAGGGAAGAGATGAGTTTATTTAAGGATGCCAAATGGACTACCGTTTACCCAACTCCATAATGAGGGAACGGCCATATTGCTGGAGTACAAGTTATTAGGGACTGGATGGACTTTTATCAAGGTTTTCTTTCTACACTTTGTTATATGTAGGTTTGCACTGCTACATTATCTCAGTGCTTCTTATCTTTGGGTACAAGAGAATAATCTATGGAACTTTTTACAAAATACAGATTTAAGGACTCTGATTCAGTATGTTTAAAAACTTTTCATCAAAAGTAATTTTGATGTTTAACGAAGAATGGAGCCTTAAAATCTGTAACTTCAAACAATAAGGGCTCATTTTAGACCAGTTTGAAAGATGACACATGAGTCCAATGGATAGATACATCTTTCTGAAATAATGTGCTTTCTCTGGTCTTTGAGGACAGGCTTCACTCCTATGTGAAGGATATCAACACTATTTCCTTCAAACAGAAAGTGTCTGTAGTGCCTCAGAAACACGACTGATCAAGGGATAGTTGAGAGAAAAGGGACATTTTTCATGACACTCCAGAAATTAATGGATCTTTTTACTTAAGTTCACCTTAGGTTTCCTATCCTTAAGGGTTTTTCCCACTCTGCTCACAAAGGAAGTTCAATGTTTTTATGCTTTCAATATAATTTTACCCTAACTTACAGAGAGAAAGTTAAGATTTTACAGGAATAAAGTAGTGTCTCCATCTGCTGATAGCTGTTTGTAAAGATACCATTCAATGCTTTTAAAAAGTAAACGTTAATGTTCTTCAGCTGAGACCTGAAAAAACTGCCAGTCACTCTGAACCATACTCTGGTGAGTTTTACTTAGAGGCAGAATTCTTGACTGGTAATAATGAAAAGGAAGCGACAACAAACTATATAATTTTGTCTATCTTATTAGCCCTCTCCCATCCTTTTAATACATCAAATAGGCTGGCAGAATTGTAAAAAGAAAGGAAAAATGATACCTTAGAGTCATTTTTAATTCACTTTGCCAAAGCATAAAAACAAACCATACTGATTTTCTCTCACTAAATCAGTAGCACCTTATTTATTCAGTTAAAATAACAACATTTATTCAGTTAATATAATATTTTTTACTCAGGAAGTAACTGATGTCGGACCACCCCCCGCCCCCACCATTTGCTCTAGGAAACTGTAATGAAAAAATAAATAAGTACATGAATTTGAACTTGTTCTTTTTTTCATGAACTTCAATTAGTGAAATACTAAAGTAATCACCAGAAGTGATCAGTATTCTATCATCCAGACTAAAAAATTTTAGTGTCATAAAGGCAGTTTGATTTTTTTTTTTGATGCCTTGACCTAAGAGACTGTATTTTATGCAAGATCCCCATCCTGCTCTAACCTCTTTAATTTGCCTGCCTTCCTTCTGAAACAAACGATCCACCCTGTTTTTTGAGAAACCATATTTCTTAAACTCAAGATAATCCCTTATCTGAAACCCTGCATACCAGATGTGTGTCATATTTTTATTTTTTGGAGTTTAATATTATATATATACCACACACTACATAATACCTGAGCAAGGCCTAGGTTAGATACCCAAAATCAACATATTAATATTGGCTTGGCCAAAAAGTTCATTTAGTTTTTTTCCATAGATGGCTCTAGCAGTGCTTACTTGTCTTTAACTTCATTTGAAACAATTGTTAGATTGCATTGTGACAGCTGTCATATCAGTGTGCATTTTTTAAAAAAATCAAGCTGGTGAATTTTTACACATTCATTTTAATATTGAAGATGGAAAAAGATACGCAACATTTTTGGTATATTATGCTTTATTATTTCAAGAAAGGTAAAAAGGCAACTGAAACGCAAAAAAAGATTTGTGCAGTGTATGGAGAAGGTGCTGTGACTGATTGAACATGTCAAAAGCAGTTTGTGAAGTTTCTTGGTACTATTGATATTTTGGCCAAATTATTCTTTGCTGTGCAGCTGTCTTATGCATTGGAATATGATTAATAGCACCCCTGGCCTCTACCCTCTGGAAGCCAATAATGGGCATACTCCAACATACTCAAAATATCCAAATCAGTAAAGTTACTGGTGAAAATGAAAAATGTGTCTTTTATTTTATGGAAAAAACTAAACAGATTTTTTGGCCAACTCAATATTTTTGTAGCAAAATAACAATATTACCACTAAGTGGGATAAAGGTTCAAAATAGCTCCATGCGTTTAGATATGCTTTCGATGCCATACGACTTCGTCACCAAACAGACAGTACCCACTTGAGTTTTGTTTTGTTTTTTTCTTAAGCTTTTTTGATTTCAGAATTGCAGACAAAGGATTGTGGGCCTGTAATATACATAAAGGATGACTGGGAGGAAAGGCCTTTCCTATAAACTTTGTATTAGACGAAGAGAGATAGCCACTCCCACACTCCTCCTACAACTCTCCATTCTTTTGTGGTTCCTTATTTCTCTTACACACCAGACACATTCTACTTCCTAACACTGGGTTTTCATCTCTGTGGGCTGTTTTACCCCTGCCGATGCATGGCTCACTTTCTCACCTCCTTCAGGGATCTGCCAAAATACCATCTCAGCAAGTTTTTCCCTGACCAACCTAATTGAAATTTTAAACCTCCTTTCCCTACCAGCACTCCCTGTCCTCCTCCCAGTTATAACTTTCTCCAAAGTACTGAATAAAATTGGACATGTATTCCACATTTATTTATTCATTTGCTGTCTTTCCCTGAGACTAGAATTAGAATGTAAGCTCCACAAAGATGGGATTTTAGTTTTATTTATTCATTGTTGTATTGTCACATTTACAGCTATGATTGGAATATAATATGTATATGTACTCAGTACATGGCCTCTGAAAAGAGGAAGAGAGTATATTAATTGCTTCTGCATACTGGAAAAATATTCAAAATACACTTCACCTCCTACAAATGGGATTCTTCTAGGTACTAGAGCTAAAGTAATAAATAAAACTAGCCAGGCTGCTTCCAATCTGGGGAGGGGCTGATGTAGGGATGGGAAGACAGGCTATTGGCAAGTCAAGTAAGGCAACTTCAGATGCTAATAAATGCTGTGACATTTTTGAAGGAAACAAATGCAATATGGAATAAGGATTTTAGGTTGGGTGATCAAGGAAGCCCTCTGAACTGATCCCTGAAAGACAGGCAAAATTCTGGGGAAAGAACACCTAGACAGAAGGAACAGCAAACGTAAAAGCCTGAGGTACAGGGACAGGCTTGGAAAAGGTCGGGTGGCTGAAGCACAGTGAGCAAGGAAAAGTAAGGTGACGATGGAGAAGGAGGTAGGGGCCTTAACACAGGCCACAATAGGGAGTGTGAATACTTCAAGTAGAGTAGCAATGTGAATCAATTTACATATCAAAGGGATCACGTTTGCTCTCTATGGAGTTGACCAGTAAAAAGGAAAGAGAGGAAACAATAAGACCAGTTAGAAGTCTTTAACAGTGCTCCCGACAAGAGTTACTAGATGACTCAGGTTCTGGGCTCAAGCAAGTGTTCAGTAAAATGGGGAAAGACTAGGGTAGAAGAAACAAGGTATTATTAGTTTCTTGGATTTTGATTCATATTTTGAGAAGCTGAGCGGGGGAGGAGTAGGAATGAAAAGTTCTATTAGCTGTGAGAGCTTTGACCTCTGTGAAAAGGTCAGGGCTAGAAAAATAAATTTAGGAATCATCATATAAAACCCATTAAAGGCTAAGAACAGATGAGATACTACAAGAGAGTTTATATATGTGAGAACATCAGTGCACTCTATACAAAGACCACATCACACCATTAAGACTCTTAATGACTAATTTATTTTAAAATAGACAAACTATTAATTGTAGAAAATAGTAACATAGCAATATTAAATATACAGTTTTAACCAATACAAAAAAGCAATAAAGCAGTATCTGAAGCCTTATTTAAGAAATCTCAATACACGATCTCTGCAGTTCCTACAATTCTGGCA